CTTGGCGGTAAAGTAGAAGTGGACTTTGCTGGAACAAATGAAGCATTGCGTATTCGTCATGCATATTTGACTTATAACAACTGGTTATTTGGTCAAACTACATCTAACTTCTTATCTAACCATGCACCAGAAATGATTGACTTCGGGACTAACGTGGGTGGCGGTACAACTCGTATTCCACAAGTACGTTATGGCTTTAATTTAGCGCCTGCAACGAAATTATTTATTGCTGCGGAAGAAGGGAATAGTTCAGCAAATCAACTTAAATCTACAACGACTAACGGTGTAACTACGAGTGAGACTGTTAGTTCAGATGTGAAATATAGCTTACCTGTATTAACTGCAAAATTAACGCAAGGTTTTGCAGATGGTAAAGCAAATGCATCTGTTCGCGGCTTAGTAGAGCAATATAAGTCTGATGCATCAGGCGATGATAAAACAGGTTGGGGTATTGCTGCAGGTGTAAACTATCAAGTGATTGATCCGTTAAAACTAAGTGCAGATGTATCTTATGTACAAGGCAATAGCAACTATTTATACGGAAGCAACACTGCATTTTATGTAGATCCTGCAAATGGCAATATCGAGCAAAATGAAGCATTCGGTGTTCAAGTTGGTGGTACGTATAAGTTCAACGAAAAATTACGTTCGACTTTAGCTTATGGCGCACTCTTTGCGGATGATGGTACTGATTACGCGCGTTTAAACACAGCTGCAAATGAAGAAGTTTACCAAGCATGGATTAACTTCATCTATTCACCAGTTAAGCCTTTGGACTTAGGTGTTGAATATATCAATGGTAAACGTGATACCTTTGCTGGCGATAGCTACAAAGACAACCGTGTTGGCTTAATGGCGAAATATAGCTTCTAATCATGTGATGAAATAGTTGCAGTTTAAAAAAACAGGAGCTTTAGGCTCCTGTTTTGTTTGAGTCGGGAAATTTATACAGACTAAATACATTTTGAATATAGACTTAAGTATTAAGTCAGAAAAGAATAAGTGAAATAGTTGGAAATTATTGTAAAAAAATAAAGATTATCTATAAAAAATCTGCATAATGTCGGTCTTTCGCCCATATTGTACTTTTATTGGTTGTTTTTGAGCCAATATGGGGCGGTTTTGTGATTTTTTTCAAAAAACCGTATCTGTGTCCAAACATTATTGGGCATTACGTTATTTCAGTTTACTCATCGTGTAGAACTGAACATGTTATGCATCAGATCGCTTAGTTTGTTACCAATTTACCCATTGCCTGAATTTCCATACGCAAGACTGAGTTTGTCTCAGATTTACGAAATATCTCTTGAAGTATCAATGGATTCGGTGGCTTATTAGCCAGATAACAAAATCTAAGCATCCGCTTTATGGACAATTGTCATGGAATTTACTTTTAACGCTTTTTATACCTTGATTGCTGCTGTCATTGTTTTGTTACTTGGCCGCTTCTTGGTAAATAAAATTGGTTTCTTGAAACGCTACAACATTCCTGAGCCTGTCGCAGGCGGTTTAGTTGCAGCGATTATCTCCTTGGTTGTGCATAGTCTTTGGGGCTATAGCATCACGACCAGTAGCGAATTGCAAACAAGTTTTATGCTGATTTTCTTCGCCTCAATTGGCTTAAGTGCAAACTTTGCCAAATTGCGTGAGGGTGGGATCGGTCTGATTATTTTCTTGATGGCTGTCGCTTCATTTATTGTGGTGCAAAACTTTGTCGGCATTAGCCTTGCAACTTTATTGGGCATTGACCCACTTATTGGTTTGATTGCAGGTTCAATTACCTTAACTGGTGGTCATGGTACTGCGGGTGCTTGGGGTGAAATTCTAGAAGTTAAACATGGTATCCAAGGTGCATTAGCTTTGGGTATGGCGAGTGCGACATTTGGTTTGATTATTGGTGGTTTGATTGGTGGTCCTTTAGCGAAGTTACTTATTAACCGTTATCAATTGGCGACACCACGTACCAATGAACAAATTGAAAAGAGTGATAACACGCCACTGACTGATATTAATTCAACAGAATATGTACCGTTTGAATATCCACATCGTGTGCGTTTAATCACTGCGGATAATGCGATTACCACATTAGGTTTGTTTGCAGGCTGTTTGGCTTTTGCTGACTTTATGACCGGCCATATGAAAGGCACAATGCTTGAGTTACCGACTTTTGTTTGGGCGCTTGCAGGTGGTGTAATTTTACGTAATGTGTTGGAAGGTATTTTCAAAGTTCAAATCTTTGACCGTGCGATTGATGTATTTGGTAATGCATCATTGTCGTTGTACCTTGCGATGGCTTTGCTTTCGTTGAAATTATGGCAATTGGCTGACCTTGCAGGTCCGCTTGTGGTGATTTTAGGTGCACAAACGATTACGATGGGCTTATATGCTGCATTTGTGACATTCCGTGTAATGGGTAAAAACTACGATGCTGCGGTGCTATCTGCGGGTCACTGTGGATTTGGTATGGGTGCAACACCGACTGCGGTTGCAAACATGCAGGCGATTACCAACATGTATGGTCCTTCGCACAAGGCATTCTTGATTGTGCCTTTATGTGGCGCATTCTTTGTAGACTTGATTAACGTGGCTGTCATTCAGTCTATTTTGCAATATTTTAACTAATTGGAAATGCAATTTGCCCTAGGAAACTAGGGCTTTTTTGCTTTCAGGTCTCTCACAATAATTAGGATATCGAGATGAATGATCAATTAAATGAAACATTACTCGGGTGGGTGAATACACTGAATGGACCTCTGTGGGACTTTTTGGTGATTTTCCTTGTTGCGGTCGGTGTGTTTTACACCCTAATTACGGGTGCAGTACAGGTTCGCTTATTTTTGCACAGCATCAAGGTCATGAAATCAAGCCGTAAGGAATGTGATGATGATCATGGCATTACACCTTTTCAGGCTTTTGTCACTGGGCTTGCAAGTCGTGTAGGTGTGGGTAATGTCGCGGGCGTTGCGATCGCAATTGCGATTGGTGGACCGGGTGCAGTATTTTGGATGTGGGTCACTGCATTTTTAGGCATGAGTTCGGCTTTTGTTGAGTCATCTCTTGCACAGTTGTTTAAGGTGCGCGACCAAGAAAATAAACAGTTCCGTGGTGGACCTGCCTACTATATTACCCAAGGCCTGAAACAAAAATGGTTGGGTGTAGTCTTTGCTGTTGCGCTTATTTCAACCTATGGTTTTGTGTTTAACGCAGTACAAGCCAATGCAATTACAGGTGCAACAGCACATGCATGGGGATGGGATAAAGCCAATCTAGCATTTGAACTCGGTGGCATACATATTGTGGTGTCTTGGGTTGGACTAGGTCTAGTCTTGCTGACCGCAATGATTATCTTTGGTGGGATCAAACGTATTGCCAAAGTGGCAGAAAGTTTTGTGCCATTGATGGCCTTGTTGTATCTGGCTGTTGCTTTATATATCGCCGTAATTAATTACGCTATTTTACCTGATATCTTCCAGCTCATTTTCTCTAAAGCTTTTGAGTTTGAAGCTGCTGCTGGTGGTTTCTTTGGTGCGATGGTTTCTATGGCAATGATGATGGGGATTAAACGTGGTTTATTCTCTAATGAAGCAGGTATGGGTTCAGCACCGAATGCGGCAGCTGCATCGGATGTAAAGCACCCTGTAAACCAAGGTTTGGTACAAATGCTCGGTGTATTTGTGGATACCTTCGTGGTGTGTTCATGTACAGCGATTATTATTTTGGCCTCAGGACTTTATCATGATGCGGGCTTTGAAGGCGTAGCGCTCACCCAAATGGCTTTAGAGAGCCAAATTGGTTCTTGGGGTGATGACTTCCTTGCAACGATTTTGTTCATGTTTGCCTTTTCATCAGTCATTGGTAACTATGCCTATGCTGAAGGGAATGTGCAATTTATCAATAACAATGCCAAGGTGATGTTCGTCTTCCGTATCTTTGTTTTGATTATGGTGTATCTGGGTTCAGTGATGAGCGTGCCTCTCATTTGGAACACTGCGGATTTGTTCATGGGCATTATGGCCACCATTAACTTGTTTGCTATTTTGCTGTTAACACCATTCTTATTGATGCTGTTAAAAGACTATTTGGCACAGCTGAAACAAGGTGTGAAAGAGCCAGTGTTTAAATTGGATAACCATCCTAAATTTAAAGACAAAGTGAAATCAGACATTTGGTAATTATTTAGACATAAAAAAGCCTCTACATTGATAGGGGCTTTTTTATGGCTATTTAACCGCTAAAGTAAAAGAACAGCTGATAGAGTGCAAAACTTAAAATCAGGCTTAGCCAAATCGGGAGTTTGGTTCGAAGCAGTAAAATAACAGCGATTACAAAAACTAAGTCAGTCCAATGCTTGAAATAACTTTGTCCCATTTGTATCACTAAACACAGCAGTAAACTTACCACTGCAGCATTAATCCCAATCACGGCTTTTCGGATCGCAGCTTGCTGCATAAGCCAAGACCAATAGGGCAAGGTGGCAAATATTAAAAAGAATGAGGGTAGAAAGATTGCTAAAGTGGCTAGAATCGCATTCAGCCAAACAAATGGCGTTAAAGGTAATAAAGCACCTAAGTAACTGGCGAAACTAAATAAGGGGCCGGGCATGAGTTGAGCCAGCGCATAACCTAAGTCAAATTGTTCGGCAGATAAAATATGGCTGACGACGAAGTCCTGATGTAAAAGTGGCAAAATAAACGGTGAAAAAACACCAAATGAGCAGCAGGCCCACCAAAAGACAAGCAACCCAATTTTAAAAAGTGCAGAAAGATGCAAGTGAGATGCTGAGTGCACATGTTGAATTATGCTGAAAAATTGAAACAGATTATAATAGGGGAATATGACGCTTTTACGAAAAACAACAGTACTTGGACTGCTGATTTTCATACACTATGCTGCTGGAAAACTTCGCTCTATCTCAACCTCGGTGAATCATGTTAAACATTAAACTTAGCCTTATGTCGTTTACATTGCTCGCTTTAGCAGGCTGTCAAAGCATGCCCAAAGTGGCTCAAGAAACGCCAAATCAGGCTTTTTCAGCCGAAACTGAGTCAGGGGAAGCCCAAGAGCGACTCAACCAGATCAATTTTAAACAGCTCAAAAAAGAACAGAACCGTCCAATTATTGCCTTGGTGTTGGGGAGTGGTGGTGCACGTGGTTATGCACATATTGGCGCAATTCAAGTTTTAGAGCAGTCGGGGATTCGTCCTGACTTTATCGTGGGAACCAGTGCCGGTAGTATCGTCGGCTCGCTGTATGCCAGCGGTAAAAATGCCAATCAAATTCGTGATATTGCGCTGAATATGAAAGCCAATGATGTGCGCGATATTCGTTTGGACATGAAAGGTTTCTTTGATGGTCAAAAAGTTGAAGACTATGTCAATGAACAAGTGAGCGATATCCCACTTCAACGCTTACCTATCCCGATGTATGTGGTGGCGACGCAGTTAAAAGAAGGTAAAAAAGTCGTCTTTAACTATGGCAATACTGGTCAAGCAGTTCGAGCATCGGTATCGATCCCGAGTATGTTTATTCCAACCAAGATTGGTGCTGACGAATATGTAGATGGTGGTTTAGTCAGCCCTGTACCTGTTGATGTGGCACGTAAGTTAGGGGCGGATATTATTATCGCGGTCGATATTTTGGCGCAGCCGATGTATACCGAAACCTCAAATGTTTGGGGGCTGTTTAACCAAAATATCAATATTATGCAAAAGAACCTTGCACAAATTGAGCTGAAAAATGCCGATATTGTGATTCAGCCAGACTTGCGTGAGAAAGTACATATTTTTGATGTCAGCGGACGTGAGTTGACCATGCAAGCTGGGGTCGATGCAACCGTTGCGCAGTTAGGACAGATTCAAAAAGTTTTTGCGCAGAAAAATTATAAGCAAAAATTGAATATTCAAAGTATTCAAGCACGAACGCATTGATCTGGCGTGATTTCAAAATAAAAGCCTGAATGGACTGGACTAGCATGTGTTTCTATAACTCGAAATACAGCCAATCAGGCTAAAAGCCATTTATATGCTGTGAAAATATCACAGCGACAATGTTTTTGAATAAATTAAAATTTAAAGAAGGCCTATAGATTCAAAAGCTTAGTCTTCTTTATATATATTTTTTTGAATGATACTTAAATCACTATAAATAATAATGATGGTTTTGTTACCAAATTTAGCGTTCAAAACCGATATAATAAATGTCACATATCCTATTATCTTACCAATTAGAGAACGCGATGTCCCCATTAGATCAAATTGCTGCGGCTGCGGATGACCAGTCTGAACTCACTATGTCGGTCTTAATGACACCTGATATGGCGAATTTTTCAGGAAATGTGCATGGTGGCACCATTTTGAAACTGTTAGACCAAGTGGCATATGCGTGTGC